CGGCATACTATTTTCCTCTTCTTTTTTTCTGCCTCTTGTTCTTTCTATTCATTCATATGCTTTTTAATTTTATTTTATTTAGATTGAAACTATAAGATGTCATGATGATTTGAGCATATGGTGAAACCACCTCTGCCTTCCATGAAGCTTAACTATCATATTCAATATTTTATGAAAATAAAACCTTTATAGAAATTGAGTACAGTTTTATTGGGAGAATGTATGTAGTTGCTACATGCAGTTATAGAAATTGAGTTTAAGAAATGAGAAAACTTACTGAAGGAACTATATTTTGTTTATACATATGATATGATTTTTATGTCACTGATTAATCTCTGTGAGTTAATTGATCAAGTGATTTTGTGCTCTTGTGTAAATTAGGTTTGATTTGGTCATTACTGTGAATGGAAAGAAGGAGAAAATAGCTTCAGGTTTGTTCAACCCCTTTCACTGTCACTTGAAGGTTGCTCAAGATCAAATGGCGAAGGTTGGTTATTCAATTGTTCTTGTGTCTGAGCACGAAAGCGATGCCACATGGTTTTCCAGAGGAACTATTGAAGGGTATGGCTTGTTATCATAATTTTTTATTTGTTGATAACTTAGATTGGCATATCTTGGAATCATTGTTGTTAAATAGCAGTTATAGCTATTATACTATAGTGTAGCGGAATTTGATCACATCCCTATTGTTTTTTGTTATGCTACTTAGTATAATGTGTTCTCAAATAGTGGCTCTACAACATTGTAGCATACCGGAATTTTAACAAACCACCACTTCGCCGATATGCATTTGACAACATTATTTGAAATTTGAATTGATAGCGGTGTTTTTAGGCAGTACTTAATTTCACACAAATGAGCGTGTTGAACTAATTTTCTCGGCTTTTATAGGTTTGTTCATTTTGTGAGCACACCTGAAATACTGTAACATGTATATATTATAGAATCCGAAATTTTAACATGTATATATTATAAAATCCGAAATCTTACAAATTGAAGAGGTAATTGCAATTCAAGGAAATAATTCTTTTGGGATTAACATTGTACTGTCTTGGTAGAAAATTATGAAGCCAATGAAAACTTGCCCAGGCTTCATAATTTTTCTGGCTCCGCCACTGATATCACGTATACATAAATTGTTACAAAAGTAATTTCATATTTTATGTGGCTTTATATGAATTTTTTCTGAATTAGTGCTTTTGGGGTTCATCAAATGGAAAATGAAAATAGAAAAAAGCTACATGGCTTTATCCTAATGTAAGTGTGTAGTATATTATAAATCTATATTTAATTTTATATCAAGTATTCACTAATTATGTCATTCGTTTTTCTAGACAAGAAGACAACATAACTCTAATAATTGTGGATACTAAGTGATGAAAAATATGTTGGATATTGTCTCTACCAATATAACTGATTCTTGGATGCAGGTAATAAAAAAACTTTACTTTTATAGTTACTTTGCGTTTTACAACTTAATGTGAATTTTTAAAGAATGAGTTTATATTGTTATTTATGCATTGTAGGTATTTGATGACCCAACAGAATTAACACAAGATGATTTGTATGATTTGCGACTCTGTTGGGAAAAATGTTTCTTTGAGTTATATAAAAATTGAGCTTGAACTGGTGAGTTATTTAGAATTGTCTATACATATTTGATTTGAGTTTTTTGATTTTGATGTTGTCTGCTGATGTTAATTGGTGTTATTATTTATTGTTAACAAATGTGATTTTGGTGTTGTCTACTTAAGCTACAACTCATCTTCTTGTAGATTGCATGTTGATATTTCAAATGTGGATATTTTTAAATAATTTCATTGGTTTTGTTGTTGTAGTAATCCACCTTTTGTAAACTTCCTTATAATTTTGTACACTTCCTTATCCTAGATTAATACTTTTATATGTGCATCCTAGATATTTGGTGTAATGAAAAATATTAGGTGATCTAAATTTGGTTGTGATGTTGGAAAAATATGAAAAATTAGGTGCAAATGAATAAATTCTAAGAATGCATCTGATTTAGTTAAATGTGGTTGTGATGTTGGGAAAATATGAAAAATTAGGTGCAAATGAATAAATTCCGAGAATGCACCTAATTTAGTTAAATGTGGTTGTGATGTTGGAAAAATATGAAAAATTAGGTACAAATAAATAAATGAAATGTCTACCACTAGTCAAACAATCTCCAATCTTGCTACTGGAGAAAATACTTCAGAGTAGTCGAGTCCTGCTCTTTAAAGAAAACCTCGAGCTACTAATCTTGCTTTATATCTTGCTCTCGATCCATCAGCATTGTGCTTCAACTTGAACACCCACTTAACTTCGATTATTTTTGCATGTGCTGGCAATTCAACTAACTCTCATGTGTTGTTTCTTTCGATTGCATGTAGCTCTTCGACTATAGCAAACTTGCACTGTTTAATCTTCAAAACCTCATTATAGTTTATTAATTCTTCATCTGGTGTGACTTCATCATCACCAACCACTTCATAATCACAAAGTCTTGCTGGAAGAACTCTAGTTCTTTGAGGTATTTGGCTTGTGCTAGCCACACCCTCTTCGACTTCGACAGTGTCGGGAATGTTAGCAACTGCTTCAATTGGAATATTTGCAATTTCTTTGACTTCAACTTCATCAGTTTCTTCGTTGAAATCATAGTTCATCATTGGTTTGTTAATTGCATCATTAGAATTTCAATCTCAGGAAGAATTTTCATCAACCACAATGTCTCGACTCAACACAATCTTCTATTAATTAGGTTGAATAGCATGTATGCACCACTTATATATGATCAAGTCTCCGCATTCCTATACAATATAAAATTATTTCTCCATTTACTCACACTTACATTATTATTTTGACATCCACAAAGTTTTGACACAAAATTTAAGCACACTCAAATAAAAAAAAAGAAAAGATAAAAAATAATTAAATAATATATACTCTTATAATATTCCCATGAATATATAAATTTATGTGTGTGCTTAAATGCTTATTTATTGGGGTTGTCACCAACTAAATATTTCTTCCATAATAAAACCAGCTCAACATATTCTCTGGCTACTTGGTAACTGTGAAATAAAACAAAAATGTCTTGGATTAGAGCAGTAAAAATAGAGACAAAAACAATACCTCCTTTTAATTTAACATACATGCAACATATCTTGATAATAATAACATGAATGTAGTATTATCCGAAATGGGGAAAATACAACTGAAGAACTGTGTCCCCAAATCCGAATGAACTAGATAAGGCAGACTTGATTTTCAGTCTCTTTTGATGGGCCTACAGCATATAACTCCACTCAATCTTTCTCTTTCGAGGTTTGCTATGTATGTTACTTTCAACAACACGTCTTCCTAGATCCTTGCCAACCCACCAACCAAGATTGGTTATAACGTATCAATAATATATTAGTCATATGATTGGAACCAAAAATGTTTAACACAATAGATTTATGTGATTTGATGTTGCTTTAGTCTATAGTTATTTCATTTTAATATTTTGCTGTGTTATATGTTTAATATATTCAAATTATTCTTGTATGAATACTTTATTAATGCTATAATTTATTGGATTGTTTCTCACTGCATCTTATCTTTTCCATTTTAGGATTTTTAGTAAAATCATTTCAGTATTTCAATATTCATCTTTTTAGTCAAAATTTATAACACGCGACTTCTTACAAATAAATGAGCTCTCAATTTCATATCATATTTTGTGTTTGAAAAGACATAGTAAAAAATTAAAAATTCATCTTAAAACTTAAAAAACTTCTCAATTTTCGTGTATAGACAATTTATAGCATGTTTGGACCACACATAATAGGTATATTGTTTGTTGTTGTGAGTTATATATATATATATATATATATATATATATATATATATATATATATATATATATATATATATATATATATATATATATATATATATATATATATATATATATATATATATATATATATATATATATATATATATACTAAAAGGAAAAAACACTATAGTATAAAATCAAATCATTTTTTCTCATCCAAATTTTGTCTTAAAAAAAATTCAAATCACAACAAAGAAAACACATAACTCAAGATATTGTTTTTATTTCTTTAAGAAGTTTTCCTCCTTACTTGTAACTTCCAACTTCAATATATATTTACATTTCACCTCAAATAAAAAAAAAATAGAGAAGGAAAGGGTTGCGCACTTTCCAATTTTAAAAATACAATAATATTATTGCTGAAGATTAAATTTCCTCGTCTGACATATCATTCAACGAGAAAAGTGATGTACCTCCTATGACACTATTTTTACCTCATCTTGCAAATAAAGGTAGAACCTCTTTTTTAATTGTGATAAAATCACTTTTCATAGTAGTAATAGGTCATGCATCACTAAAACTATTAGCATTTTAAACATTGATTTGTTTTTAGAAAAAAAATTTAAATGCAAAAATATCACATACTATCCAAAAGTTGAGACTCTATGAACTACATCTAATATGTTCCGCACTCTTAAATATATATCATTAAATAAGAAAAAAAATTAAGGAGCTATATCAATTGCTAAGAGAAAATAAAAGAACTTGTAGCAATTACTTTATTAATTGTTTTCTTCTAAAAAAAATTAAAAAAAAATGAATAAAGTGAATATATATATAAATAACTTAAGTAATGACATTTAAAAATAAATCTATAACAACGAAGAAGTAATCAATTTTAAATTCATTGAAAACAAAGAAAGAACAAATATTTATTTAAATTAGAGGAGAAGTTCCACTAGAAGAAATTCTTTATTTTGCAACACATAAGTTACGACGATTTTATAAAAATCGTCATCTTTCACACATTCTGACAGTTTCGAGATAGTTCTTGTCAACTGTCGTACTAGAATACATAAATTAATAAACGGAAGCTCAATTTATTTGGTCTTTGAAGAGACTAAGGATATGAAAAACAACATAATATCCAAAACAAGAGTTGGATATTTTTTAATAGCTAATCTGAAATCTTGAAGTCATGAATCTCTTTACCCGCAACCTTTTCTTTGTTGAAATCATGACGGGTTCTATTAGAGTAATATTTTCCAAAATTGTATGGTTTGTATTTTGCAGGATCTTTCTCACTCACTAGCTCTTCTGCAGGCTGCACCATAATATCGTGACCTGGAAAAAAGAAGAATGGATACGAATATCTTTCTTTTTGTGAGTTTACTGTAGCCCTGTGTATTGCACTGTCATACTTGTCATTGCTCCAAACCTGCAAAATACCCCACTTTAAGATTGAAACAATTGAATCTATGAAAAAATATTGTTAATTGATTTTTCTTCTAATTTAAAATTTAGGACTTACATAATTATTTTAGTATTAAATTTATAAAAATTGTATTTACCATTTTGACAAAAATAAATTATCAATCAATTTTATGGAATTGAATTAGACAGGAAAAATAATTTGATCTTAAAGTACATCTTAAATGTGCAAATAAAGTAATATATTATTGATGCCGTCAAATAAAATACTGTTAATTTTTTAACAATAAAAATATATTAGAAAATAAATAGAGAAAAACAATACACAATAAAGGTTGTGAGATCACATAAGATGTATCATATTGATCACCAAAAAGATAAAATAAAAATACAATAACATGCAACATAAAATAGTTCAATGTCCAATAAAAGAAAAAATCACATAATATGAGAGCGTGACAAAGATGATGATGACATGGTGTGCTACATAACACTTTTGACCATTTTCTATTAATAAATTAACTTAAGATGATTTTAAAAAGAAATTTTCCATGTCATAATCCAATATCAAACATGTTATTATAGGAACAACGCACCTGAAAAACATCACCCACGTTAACAACCAATGCACCAGGAATAGGTTCAATAGGAACCCAACCGCCAACGGAATTGTTCTTAACTTGTAAACCTCCAGTATCATCTTGTGCAACAATAGTCAAGACACAAGGATCCTTGTGAGGACCAATTCCAAGTGCCAAATCAGGAGAAGGGCATGGAGGATAGTAATTGAGTCTCACAAGGCTTAATTGATTCTCGAAGCAGTCAAAGAATTTGTCACCAGGTAAGCCTAAGCTCAATGAAATTAACTCCAAAGACAGCTTTTCTAGCTTTGCACCATATTCTGCTATTGTTTCCCTAAGAAAAAACACAATGATAGTTTTGCATTAGTTTAGAAATTATGTGAAGTTTCAGTTTATGTGATTATTGTCTAATAATTTTTTACAATATAGTATATCATTTTAATAATCGACAGTGATATGACACACTTCATCCGTCTCTATTTCTCCATTAAAACATTTGATAAAAATAAGAATACTTAAAATATGGAAAGTATATATATATATATATATATATATATATATATATATATATATATATATATATATATATATATATATATATATATATATATATATATATATATATATATATATATATATATATATATATATATATATATATATATATATATATATATATATATATATATATATATATATATATATATATATATATATATATATATATATTCTTTAAATCATTTGATAAAAGTAAGAGTACCTAAAGGATATATATATATATATATTCTTTAAATCATTTGATAAAAGTAAGAGTACCTAAAATGTGGAAGGGATTGAGGCCAATGATTTTTTAGAGTCCATAGGTCCAAGTCATTTGGATCATCATTAGAAGGGTATTGTATTCCTTCATTAATAAGATAATCATAAACTTCTTTCCAATCCCTTGTGAGATTAGTATGCTCAGAATCATGATATCCCGTTGCATTCACTGCATCTCTTCTCAATTTCTATTTTTCCTCCATACTTAGTTCAAAAAGTTTTTTGGTCTCATTTGCAACCTTATTGATAAGATCAGAGGAAACTCCATGATTGATTATATGAAAAAATCCCCATTTCTGAGATGAGGTTTTTTTTGGCTCGTTTGTGAGAGGTCGATGATGGGAGTTGGGACGGGGTTCAGTGGATAGAATGTAAGCTGAATGTATCTCTCCCATGTTTTGAGTGTTTTGCTTTCTTACTTTTTCACGTAGATATGTCATGAACATGATCCTTCCACTTGTTTATATAGAACTATAAGCATACTACATAAATAATTGTGGACGGTTTTCTTCAATAATTATTGGTAGGGAATAGAACATTATTAAAATGAGAGGAATATTAAAAATATTCTCTTTATACCATTTCTTCTAACACTCACCCTTCAATAAATATATATTGAGAGACTCAAATTTTAAAGAAAGTGTTATAAAGAGAATGTTGATAGCAGTCTTTAAAATTTTCATTTTAAAATATTACATCATTTCAAATATTAGTTAAGAAAAAATTTGAAGTTTTTTTTTTAATTTAAAAATAAAACATGGCTTAACATGGTTTACTGTGCCTTTATAATAATAATTTAGTTTGTAAGGTTATTTTAACATTAATAAAATTATATATAGTTATTAATAAAAATAATTATAAATATAATTAAATTATAATGTGTGTGAAAATTTTTAAATTAAAATTTATTAGCGAAAAATATATATTTTTGTTTTATAGCATATACTACAAATGAAAATATAATTATGTATTAAGTATACAGACCGGAGAAATATGGTTGGGGATACAGATGTAATATAATCATTATTAATATGGTTGTGGTGGAGATATATCTTTAAGACTTCCAATAATGTGATTGTAGTCAATAAAATTTAAAATTAATATCATTTTTACTTTTTTATTGTAAAAATAATAATAGTTTTTTAATTGTATCTTTTAATTATTATCCTATGTACAACTTCTATTATATTTATAAAATTAATTTGGTGTCTTATAATAATATTATTATATTCTTTAACTACTGGATATTCGTGCGTTGAAACGGGTATTGGTATGATCCACACGTTTTTGTCAAAATGTAATATAAAAAAAAGACAGAAAGAGAATATTTTTTAAGTAAAAAATTTATTATTTTTAAAAGAGAAGATATATTAGTGTTTATAATTTTTTCCGTATATAAAAATATTTGAATAAAACAATAAAAAATTTTCTCTATAAATATTATTTTTGTTTTATTATTATTTACTAAAATAATTGAATCAATAGTAAATTTATTCTCGTTATTATTTAGTTTTTAATCAATAACTTTAAATTTTCTCATTTCATATGATACTCATATTAGAAGAAAATAAAATGCGTACGTACCACGCCAATATCTGTGATATCGCACGATTTCTGTTTGAATTCATATTACACGTCATTATATCTCATTTATCACTTTTAAAGATATGAAAATAATTTTAATTAAGTTCTTGAGTTTGATTTTTGTCAAAATCATTCTTTAAATTCACGTGGATTTTTATTGTATTTTTACTTTGAGGCATATCTAGTGAGAATTGGTAAGTTATATGTGAATGTGAGAATTAATAACAACCATCAGATTTAAAAACAAATATTGAGATTAAATCATATCTTTCACTAAATCATGTGTCATAAATATAAAAAATCAGAGGCTTTTAATAAGAAAGAGAAATTAATAATTAATTTTAGAAATATATCTTAATTCAATGGCCTACATGTATTATATATATATATATATATATATATATATATATATATATATATATATATATAAAGTTTTACTGTGACTATTTATTAATTTGAAATTTTTAATAAACTATTCAATATTTTAATAGTAATTGTTTAATATTAATATTAATTAAATTATTCATTAATTATTTAATAATGATTAAAATATTAATGAAAATAATTATTTATTAATTGTTGAAATATTTTTAGCTTCTTTACAAAAACGGGAATATTTTTAGCTTCTTTGCAATTGAATAAATGACCTTTTTTGTAGAAGTAAAATTCTATTTAAAAAAGGTTGTAAATATGTAAATTAAATCTAATAACAAAAAATTGCATATTTCCTTATCAAAGACAAACATTAAAAATTAAGTTGAATCTATCAAAATCTAATTACTCTAACATCTAAAAACAGTAGAAACAGTTGAATTTGAATTTTGAAGTAAATAATATTAACCTATCCAAACATGTGTATTAAAAACATCAAAGTGAATCACCACTACCAAAGATTTTTCTCAGTGACAATGATATAAAGTCATCAAACTTATTATTATTTATAAGTGTTTTAAAGCCCAGGCCGACCCGGTCGGTCGGGCCGATTTGATCGAGAACCGGTGGGTCAGGCGGTCCGATTAAGGAATAAGACTGGAATTATATCTAGACCGGATGAAATCGGTGTGAACCGGCCGGATCACCGGTTAAATCAGTGAACCGGCGGTTTTTACTGAACCGACGGGTTTGACTATTTATTTTATTTTTTAGGGCTTTTGAAAAAAAATTAACATAAACGTTTTGCCTCCTCGTTTCCCAAACCTAGGCATTTGAAAGGTTTTCATTTTTATTCTGTCTTTTCTTTTTCTAATTGAAGTCATATTCTCAATTTTCTCTACCAACAAAAACTCCCACTTGCTGCTGTTATTTGATATTCCTTGTTTGCCGTCAAAAATTTTATCAAAACATCAAAAACAGGTTATTTCTTTTTTACTTGGTCTAATTTGCATTGATGTTTTTCAATATGAATATTATTGTTTCATTTTGTTGATTAATTGATATAGAAAATAAATGATTAAATTTGATCATTTTCTATAAAATTGGGTCCTTTAGCTTAACAAATTGAGATAGAATTTGTATGAATGAAGCAGTTTTATATTTTTATGAATTAACTTATTATAGACTGGTAATGAAGTTGTTGTATATTGGAGATAGAAATTGGGATAGATATATATTACTGTAATAGTCGTTGTATATATTATGGAGATAAAAATTGGGTTTAAAACTATGTAATCTAAATTATATAGTAAGACAAAGTTTCCTGTTTTTTATTAATTTAAATTATATAACAAAGAAAAGTTTCAGGATTTTATTAATCTAAAATATATAGCAAAGGCTGGAAAGCAAAGTTTCTATTTTTTTATTATATATGGTGATGCACAGTAACGATGCTTGGTAGCCTATATGTAATATACAACAACATATTCATATATTTTGGATTTAGATATGCTACATATTTAATGTTTCTTATAATATTTTTATAAATTCAATAATTTTTGTTTAGAATTGTGTTTTGTTAATATTTTTGTAATATAGTTTTGTATTTTTAAATTTTGATTGATATTAGATATGGCATCACCCGCTGAAGTAATAACTTCGGAAGAAGTTACATCTCAAAATTCAACCCAACTCCAAAGCAGTAGGGGAAAAACTGATATAGCTTGAGGTCATTGTAAACAAATTGAAGAGAAAGGAAAACTTGTTAATTTGTGTATTTATTGTGATAAAATTATTAGAGGAGGGGGGATTAATAGGTTCAAATTCCATTTGGCTGGAATAAAAGGTCAAGTTGAAACATGTAAAAAGGTGCCTCCAGATGTTCAATATCAAATGAAACAAAATCTTGATGAAGGTGCAAATAAGAGAAGAAAGACTCAAGCACAAAATTTTGATGTTGATCTTACTACTCAAGAGGGTGGTGTAGTAGAAATGGATGTAGAACAATCAAGATCAAATTCGGTGATTGTGTCTCAAAAGAGAAAGAATACTAGTCGTATTGGTAATTATTTTATGCCTAGAACAACTCCTGGAGCTCAACCTTGTTTAAAAAGTGTGTTACAAAGTAAGGAATTCGTGGAGAAGTGTGATCTAGCTATTGCAAGATGATTCATTGATTCTTCTGTGCCATTCAATGCAACTAATTCTGCGTATTTTCAATCTATGGTTGATGCACTTTGCTGCATGAGTCCGGGGTATAAAGTTTCAACTATGCATAGTCTTCGTGGCTATTTGTTAAATAAATGGGTTGAAGATGTGAACAAATTGATAGAGGAGTATCGTAAGATTTGGAAGAAAACTGATTGTACTCTAATGGCTGATGGATGGACTGATCGAAAAAGAAGAACTCTTATAAACTTTCTAGTTTATTGTCCCAAAGGTACTATTTTTCTAAAATTCGTTGATGCTTCTCATGCTTCAAAAACTGCAGATATGTTGTATAAGCTTTTTAGAGAGGTGGTTTTATTTGTTGGGCCTGAAAATGTAGTTCACATAGTGACAGATAATGCTGCAAATTATGTTGCTGCTAGAAGGTTATTAGAAAATGAGTTTCCTACTTTATTTTGGTCTCCTTGTGCGGCACATTGCATTAACTTGATGTTGCAAGACATGGGAAAATTAGAGGAAGTAAGTGAGACAGTGTCACATGCTTCTAATGTTACCAAATATATTTATAACCATTGTTATGCATTGTATTTAATGAGAAAGAAAACAGGTGGAAGAGAAATCCTTCGTCCTGCTCTAACTCGGTTTGCCACTAATTTCATTGCTTTGCAAAGTATTTTGTCTCACAAAAACTCACTAAGAGCCATGGTAACATCTAAAGAATGGACAAGCTCAGCATATGTCAATGAAGCAAAGCCCAAACAGTTTGTGGATCAAGTTTTAGATTCTGGATTTTGGAGTAAATGTGTTGATGTAGTTAAACTCACTGAACCACTTGTGCGTGTGTTGCGTATTGTTGATAGTGAAGATAAACCTGCTATGGGCATTCTATTCAAATCTATAGTCAAAGCTAGAGAGGAGATGGTGAGGAGGTTTCAAAGAAATAAGAAGAAAGTGAATCCTTACTTGAAAATCTTAGATAAACGTTGGGATTCACAGCTCCGCAAAAATCTTCATGCTGCCGGTTATTGGTTGAATCTAGCTTGTAGATATAATGATGTAGAATTTGAAAAACATGCATCCACAACATCAGGACTTTTAGATGTCATTGAAAAGCATGCTAATGGAAATTCTGAACTTCAATTGAAGTTAACAGATGAGATGAGAATATTCAAAGACGGTGAATTAGATTTTGGAAGGAAATCAGCCATGGATGAACGATGTATTGTGAGGGAAGGTAATTTCATAACTTCTAAATCTTGATATATATTTT